CATAAAATCAGCAAGATTATACAACTCAACAATACTGTAAGGCAACAGGAGCTAATTGGTAGGACCCTCTAACCAACAATACCATATAACTCACATTCTTTTCAAATACCCATAGAACATTCCCCAAGATAGCTCACATTCTAAGTCACAAAACAAACTTCAACAAATGTAAAAGAACTGAAATCATACAGAGTATTTTCTTTGACCGTAATGGAATCAAACTAGAAGTTAATAACAAAGTCAACAGGAGAATCTCCAAACACTTGGAAACCGAACAACACATGTCTCATTAATCCATAGGTTGAAAAATAAATCTCAAGGGAAATTTTATGAAGTACAATGAACTGAATGAAAATGAAAAAATACAACATATTAAAACTCGTGGAATGTAGCTACAACAGTTCTGACATGGGAATTGAGAATGTTAAATGCTTATATTATAAAAGAAGAAAGGTCTAAATCAATCGTAAGCTCCCACCTCAAAGGACTAGAAAGAGAAGAGCAAAATAAAATGGACTGAAAATATGCATAAAGAATGCAATAAAAAAGGTAAGAGCAGGAAACAATGAAATTGGAAAGGAAATAGGAAAACAAAAAGCTCTTTCTCTGGAAAGATCAATAAAATTGATAAGCCTATAGCAAGATTGACTAAGATAAAGAGAGAAGACACAAAGCACAAATATCACAAATGAGACAGAAGAATCATACTACACATCCTGCAGCCACTGAAAGGAAAACAAAGTTCTCAACCTAGTACCCACATTCTTTAAAAGAAAGATGCTATGTGAATTTTTGTCCACAGTAAATATATAGTCCATCCATGAACAAAATGTTCATAAAATCTGTCACTATTTGGAAAAGAAACTTGAAAATTATTAAATTTATTTGACATTAGGGACCCCCCCCACACACACACACACAAAAAAGCACTACCAATCTATCTATCAATCCCACTTCTAGTGGGATTATTTCCAAAGCAAACAAAATTATCATCTCAAAGACAGATTTGCACTCCTATGTTTACTGCAGTATTATTCCCAATAGCCAAAGTATGGAAACAACATACGTGCCTGTCAATAGATGAATGGCTCAAGTAAATGTGACATATACATACAATGGAATATCTTTCATCCTTAAAAAAGAAGGAAATTCTGTCATTTGTGACAACATGAATAAACCTGGAGGGCATTATACTAAGTGAAACAAACCAGACAGAGGACAAATACTGCATGGTATCACTTGTATGTGGAATCTAAAAAATAAAAAATAAATAAAAGAAGTCAAACTCATAGAAACAGAGAGTGGAATAGTGGTTACCAGTGACTGGGGGATGGGGGAAATAGAATTTGATAAAAGTGTAGAAATGTTCAGCTATAAAATGAGTAAGGTTTGAGTATCTGATATATACCATGGTGAATATATATAGCTGACAGCCTGTATTGTATAACTGAAATTTACTAAGAGAGTAGAACTAAAATATTCTCACAAATTCTCTTAAATATGACACAAAAGCAGGGGTAAATGTTAGGTGACTGATGTGTTAAAAAAAATAGGAATACTGTGTAAAACCCTATGCAACAACTTAGAAAAAATTAACCAGTTCCTTGAAAGCCAAAAACAACAAATATTGAACTTATAATTTGAATAGTCCAATAACTATTAAAGAAATCACATTGGTAATTTAAAACATCTTGAAAAAAGAAAGCTTCAGGTCTGCATGATTTCAACTGGAGAATTCTACCCAAAATTTAAATAATTAACACCAATTTTATATAATTTCTTCTAGAATACCAAAGAGGATGGAACACTTTGGTGTCAGGGGTCCCCAAGACCAGTCCCATAATCAGTGATTCACTATGAACTCAGCATATAGGTCAGACTCATGGTTATGGTTTATTACAGTGAGAGAATACAGAGTAAAATCAGCAAAGAGAAAAGGCACACAGGGTGAGAGAAAACCAAGCACAAGCTACCAAGGGCCCTCTCCCCATGGTGTCACACAGGATGTACTTCAGTCCTCCAGCAAAAAGCTGTGACAACATGTGAAATGTTGCCTAGCTCATTAGAAACTTAGTTCCCTGGGCATTCACTGGGAGTTGGTCCAGGTAGGCACCCTCTGTCTAGCACTTACCAACATTCCAGACTCCCAGAAGGAAAGCAGAGGTACAACACAAACCCTATCGTTTGTACAGTTTAGGCACAGTGAGCCACTCTTATCAGCCCTGGAAATGGTAGGAACTCACCCCAAATCCAAGTTTCCAGATGTCATCCAAGGACCAACCTTGCAAGCAGGCTGCCTTTCAAAGGATAGCAGTCAGGCCTGCTATGTTAATTCTTTTCTGAACAGCTTGGAAATCAGGAGACTTAAATTCTAGGCTCAGCATAAATCACATTTGTACAAACAGTATAGGTACAGTGAGCCACTCTTATCAGTTCCAGGAATGGTAGGATTCCTTCTGAAATCCAAGTTCCCAGATGCCCACCAAGGGCCTGCTATGTTGTCTTTTTAGCACAACTTCCCAACTCATTTTATTAGGCCAGTATTATCTTAATACCCAAACCAGAAAAAGACAGTATGAAAAAAGCCCCCTCAAAACTTCTCTCACGAACTTTGACACAAAAATCTGCCAGAAAATATTGGTGATATAGAATCCAGAAAGGTATGAAAAGAATTATACCATGGCCAAGTGAGGCATGTTCCAGCTATGTAAGGTTAGTTCACAAATCAATAGTCAGGCAATGTAACTTACCATATCCACAGGCTAAAAAAGAAATATCATATGATCATATCAGCTAATGCAGAAAAAGCATTTGGCAAAATTCAGCATTCATTTATGATTAAAAAAAATCTCTCAGCAAACTAGGAATAGAAGGGTAATTTCTCAACTTGATAAAGAGCATATATAACAAAACTGCAGCTAACAGTTTTCTTAATAGTGAAAGATGGCATGTTTCCCCCTCAGAGTGGGAACAAGGGAAGGATGTCGGCTCACACCACTCATTCAACATAGTACTGAAAGTTCTAGCTTGCACAATAAGGCAAGAAAAGGAAATAAAAGACATACAGATTACAAAGGAAGAACTAAAACTGCCCATATACACAGACAACATGATATCTATGTAGAAGATCCCAAAGAATCTACCAAAAAATCTCCTAGAACTAATAAGTGGGCTCAGCAAATCAAAGGATACAAGATCAACACACAAAAATTAATTGCATTTCTATATGCTAATAATGACGTCAATACAGTAAGATGTCAATTCTCCTCAGATTGATCTATAGGTTAAAACAATTCCTATCAAAATTGCAGCAAGCATCTCCATTACGCTGAAAGAAAAAAGGCCAATTTCAAGCCTCCTGCTTCCATTTACATCTATTGAAATAACAAAATTATAGAGATGGAGAACATGTTAGGGGTTGCCAGGGGTTAGACTGGGGACAAAAGTGACTGTAACTATATTGGGTAGCAGGAAGAACCTTTGTGGTGGAGGAACAGTTGATTGCGGTAGTTACATGAATCTACCCATGTGATAAAACTGCATAGTAGAAGGTACACAAACACAGAAATGAGTGCATGTAAAACTGGTGAGATCTGAATAAGGTCTGTGGATTGTACCAGTGTCAATATCTTGGTTATGCAAGATAGTACCATTGGGGAAACTAGGTAAAGAGTACATGGGACTGCTCTGTAATGTTTTTTACAGAGCCTGTGAATGTATAGTTATTTCGAAATAAGTTAATAAAATGAGGTAAGTCTGAAGGACTATGGCTATTTTAGAACTCACATTTGCATATTATGAATAGAACTACATCTTTAGTATGGAAAACAGGCAAAATACAAAAGAGCCTACATTTCTATTTAGCCTAGAAATGTAAATGAAAATGACAATTGAGTTCATGATAGTTGCACATGGTACATTTCCAAAGTCAAATAGGTAAATCAAAAAGGGTTTGTTGCCTCAACATCTGTATTAATCAGGATTCCATCACAGAAGCTGGCCAACAGGACATTACATATATACATACACATACATCATTCATTCATTCATTCATTAGAAGATACTGGCTTATACAACTGTGGGGCTGGATATGCAAAACCAAAATCGGCAGAGCAAGCAATCAGAAAGAAATGTCGGGCCCACCCTTACTTTGAGTCTGTCCCCTACTTCAAGTCAACTGATCAAGAGCTTTACATCAGCAAAACATCTTCACAGCAACGAACCCCTAAATTAGTGTCTGATGAATAACCAGGGACTGCAGCCTAACCAAGCCGACACATCAAAAAGCCATACATCATAAACCATCTGTGCTTGCAACTGAATAAATGTATTGTTAACAGCCACCTTGGCTTTATTATTACAGGTAATTCAAGCGCAAACGCCTTGAATCAATAGGGGCCCACAAGGAGTTTTATACATGAGGGTCCACTTGGCAGAACTTTAGAGCTGAAAGGGGCCGTGAGAAGCTTAGTTTGTATTTCAACACAGCCAAGGCACCTCCCTGGTTTCCTCTCCAGCACTTCGCGGGACTGAGGCTCCTCCCGGCAGCAGCGCGCCCAGAGGGAGCAGAACGGAACCCACCTAGAGCCGGCGCCGCGGTGCGGGAGCACAGTGGGCGGAGCCTCGAGGCGCGCGGTGGTGGAGACGGCTCCCAGCCCGCCAGAAGAGCGCGCGGCGAGCGGCCGGCGGGGAGCCAGTCGGGTAGAGCAAGCGCGGCCGGCGATTGGCGTGGGGGGTTTGGGGGGGAGGAAGGGGAAGAGGCGGAGCGTGGGAGCGCACAGAGTCAGAAATACAATAGTGCTCCGCGCCGCTCCAGCGGCCGCCGCCGCCGCCGCCGCCTCCGCCGCCGCCCAACCGCCTGCCCGGCGCTGAAGCCTGACGGGCCCGGCGGGCCAGGGCCGAGGGCGGGAGCTGAGGCGCGGGGGGCGGCCCCGGCGGATCCGGCGGCGGGGCGGCGGGGCGGGGGCGGGGACGGGGAGGAGATTAGGGGGCAGGTGCGAGGGAGGGGAGAGAAGAAAGCGAGCCGTGAGGGGGGCGGTTACCACCCCTACTGGACTCGCCTCCAGCACGTTGCCGGACCGAGTGTGGAGCCGGGAAGGAGCCGACACTAGCTGCGCGAAGGTAGGCGCCACTGAGGCTGGATGCGGCTTGAGCGGGCTTGGGGGCTTCGCGCCGGGTGGACAGCGGGAGTGGCGGCCTCAAGGAGTGGAAGCGGGCGGCGCGGAGCGCAACGTCCCGGCCCAGCCTCGCAGCGCTCGGGATCGCTCGGGCTCCGCATCGCGGTCTCCTCTGGCTTCCCTAGCGCCTCTGGGCCGAGAGCGTGTGTGGGCTGCGTGAAGTGCGCCGTGGCCCCTCTGCCAGCAGCGGAGTGCCGGGTGGCCGGCGCGGGGGCGGGGGCGGACGCCCGAGCTCGGCTGCGGCTACACTCGGACAGAAATTGAGCGCCATAACTGCTGCGGCGGTTCCCTCCGGTGTCCCCTCCCGGGGCCCCCTCTCTCCCGGTTCTACTCGGTCTCGGGGTTCACAGGGTCAGACCTGCGGCGGGAGAACCTGCTGTGCGGGCCACTCGGGGCCGGATGCTCCAGGGAGCGAGGGCGCGCCCTGGCTGTTTCGAGGTTAGGGGCGGGAAGAACCAAGTGCCTGGAGAGGGGTGCCAGGCGGTGCGAAGAGCGGCAAGGCCCCCGGGGAGGCCGGGTGCCCCTGGAGCAGGAGCGCGGGCGCCCCGCCGCCTGGTGAAGTTTCCCTCCCCCTTCCGTCATTGTTAGAGTGCTGCCAGTCCAGGGTCGCCGCAAGCACCAGCGGTCCCGGGGGTGGGAAAAGCAGGAGGGCGTTGCGAATCTTATGGGGAAATTTTCCCACCCCTGGACACAGCAAAGTTAACTTTTCTCCAGCGATCGGGTTGGTTTTATTCCCTCCGCCGTGGGGCAATCGATTTAAAAAAAAAAAAAAGCCTCCCAACAATCTTTTTCTCTCGCTTTCCAGAGGCACTGCTTGGGTGAAGTCTGGCTTTAAATTGCACAGGGCAACCTGCGTTTGTTTGTTGTGAGTAGGAAAGGGGGGCGGGATCTCGAGTGAGTGACCGTAATGATGGTATGTGAAGGCATGTTTAAAAGCTGGTATCATTGTGTAGCCCTGGGACATGTGTAGCTCCTAGGCATTTGGCAAGACTTGTTTGGCCGCTTCTCTGAGTTGCAAGGAAATCCATGGGCTCAGATGTGCGTAAGGTTTTTTGATGTGAGATCTGTGAAGCTGAGGGTGGGATTCCCGCTCCTCCTCCCTCTGACGTCTAATTGTATGAGAAATCAAAACCGAGTTGATGGTGATTCCAGTGGCCTGGAGGGAAAGGCGACCTCATTCCCTGTATTCAGTCTGATAAAGATAACTGCCTCCTTCTCTCGGAAAGTAATGGAAAATAATTTAGGTAAAGACTGGTTGCACATGTTGGCTTAGTTTAAGCAACCTAGAATTTACATTCCCAGAGTAGTTCACCTCTTAAATACCTTCCCTGAAGCCACTTCTTGACAGCCTTGGGGTGGGGTTGAGGTCAGGAGTTGTGGGGGGCGGGGGGAGGGGAGGCAGCCCGAACAAAGCATTGTGTTTTTATTTTATTTAATACTTTCGTAACATCTGTAAACAATGGAAATGTGAATCCTAGTCTCTATACGCTTTGAATAATGTAGTTTTTATGCTCTTATAGCATCACGTGATAACTCTGGATAAGTGAAAATAGATTTTTTTTCTTTTTTGTTTGGCCTAGTAGTATTATACCTCCATAACATATCATTTTCTTTTTCATTTAAAGTGAGCTCTGAGCTTAACTGCTTAAACTGTAAAAGGAGAGTACCTCTCTTGAAGAGGTGGAGCGATTACATGAGATTTTTGGTAAGTACTTCTTAGCATTAGCTACCATCCTTGCCACCTTTTCTTCAACTGTGCTCTTCTCTAGTTTTGTTTGCTAGAGAAGAGCTCTTAACCCAGTATTGTTGCCTTGAAACAGTTCCTTGCATTCTTTGTCAGGTCAATTCTGAAATACACAGGCAGGTCTCGTTCTAGAACCCACAATTTCTGTCTGCCTCTTTTCTTAGTTATATTGTTGCGCCTCGGCAGTGTGGTAACTGCTTTCTCACCTGTAGGAGCCTGTGAGTACTGGTCACAGGTAGGGTAAAATTGACAAAGGCCTCCTACTTTTCCTGAAGTGTTTGTGATCAGCTGGGAACCAGGAGTGACTTGGAAGCAGCTTTAGGGGCATCTGTGACCCATCTTCTGATCTGTAGAGGAGGTTTCCAGGAGCAGTACAGGTGATGGTGCATGGCTGTCACTGTAGTTTAGATGTTTGGGTTAGCAAAAGTTAAAATGAACAAAGGATGTTGATGGCTTGTAGGTTGAGTATGGTCCTCTCCTTTGATAATGCTTGTCTTTTCCCTCCCTTGTGTTCCACCAACCTTAATCCATTTCTCCCCAAGCTACGCAAAGCAATTTCTTCCTTTTGCCCATTATTTTGAGATCTGGCTGAAACTAGGTAAGTATATGGGGGAAGTGGGGGAGAGAAGGATCCAGTATTCCTGTTTGTGAAGATGCAGCATCACAGAGGGCTCTCACAAGCCTTGATCAGGGATACAGAGGTTGAACAATTATCATAGGACAAAATGTACCTACCTTATAGAGGTTACACAGAACAGGAGCTGAGGAAGGTAGAGATTGTAGGTTGCCTTACATTAACAAAATATATCTTCAGGGGATAACTTACTATGGCCTTTACTTACTTCACCTTATAGGTGAGGGATGGGTGTTGGAGCACACCCATCTGGCACTCTCCTGAAATGGCTAATATGGGGACATGTGAATGATTTACAAGTTTCTACCTGTTGTTCCAATTACAGTGGCTGGGAGAGCTGAAGCATTCCGTTTGTGGGGTGGGAGGATCTAGGATGAATGGGTAGAAATGCTGAATGAATAAAATGGTGCTAACAAATGGTCATTACAGACCACATAATTACTGCTTTGATTTTTCTGTTTTCTGGAATCTTTGTTTCCCCCATCATTTTTTGCCTCTTCCCTGTAGGTCTATCCATAGACAATAGCAGCAAAACTCTTACCATCAGAACTGCCTTTGTGCTTCTTTTGAAGGACAGCAAGAAAGAAGCGTCCTGGGGAGAATTTACATGACCTCATAGCTAAGCTTAGGAAAAGTAAGAACTCAGAGGGCAGTCAACTGAAGGCAGTAGAGGGCCTGGTGTGGAGAAGTAGTACTGGGGCTTTGACCAATACAAGATACCCATGAGTTCATTAATACTGTTCAAGCAGTAAATAATTTAATCTGTCACAACCCAGAAGCCATGGCTGAGCTCTGCTACCCAGGGAGTTCCTTGTCGCTTGATATTGGCTGTTACACAAGGAAACCTGAGCCTGGAATGTGCTTTTTGGAATAGCTGACAAGAGAATATTATACCAACATGGCCAGTGCACTAAACATTGTGTGTTGGAATCTCCTGGGAAAATTATTATTATTATTCTTTTTTAGATTTTAAAAACTCATTTTGATAAAATATTATCACTACAAAAAAGTTGCAAGGATAGTACAAAAGAGCTCCTATATTCCCTTTATCCTAGGTTACCAGTTACTAACAGTTTGTTCCCTTTGCTTTATCATTTGCTCTTTCTGTTTCTTTTTCTGAACGATTTGAAAGTAACCATTGAAAGACTGGTACTTGTCAAGGGCACCCTGTCATGAAGCGTGGCTCAGGTGCAGCCATGGGTTATAACAGAACATTGGTGGTGATGTAGGGCCCCAGACTTGGAATGAAGTCTGCTTGTAGCTGTGAAGACCACATTTGTAAATCACATGGACTGTCTGGTGCTAGATACAGAAATCATTAATTGTAAGAGTAGGTAAGATAAACTCCCCTTTTGTCATCATTCATAGCAGATTTGTTCCTAACTATGCCAAATTTTAATATTATTATGAAAATCCACTCCACCACTCCCCAACCTTGCAGTCACAATACGTTTTCCAACATTCTCATTTAATTCATTCAGTAAACATGTATTGAGTGCCTGTTTGCTGGGGAAATGAGAGATGAGATGTTCATCTCCTTAAAAGTTCAACATCCAGTGGAAAGGAAGTAAGGAAATCTACCATCAGAGGGGGAAGAGTGGGTGGTTGAAACACCAGGCTGGTTAAAGATCTGTAGAGTAGATACCTGTGAGTCATTTAGGACGTATGTGAATGTGAAGATCCATCTTCTCTGAGGCTTGCTGCTTTTAGAAGGCAAGGTTTATGAGTTAGAGAAGCCTTTGGTTGTTCACCCAGCACAATCTATGGAGACAGGCCAACTTGGATATGAATCTAACCCTGGATCTTGGCCAGTTACTTAACTTCTCTATGCCTCCATTTCTTCATCTGCCAAATCTCATCTCTGAGGTAATAATTGCTCTGTAAGCATTCATTGCATCTTCTCCAAAGATGCAGTATGGAGGGAAATAGCATAAAAGGTATTAGGTATTAAGGTGGGATCCAAGGGGGTGTTTCTATTTTTTCTACAAATAAATACCTAATTGCTAATTGTACTAAGAGCTGTGATGGATATTACTATATGTGATAATAACAGTAAGAGCAGTAATGATTTGTTAACCATTTCCTCAGTGCTCAGCATAGGATGTCTGTCTAAGGTGTGAGAGGCTCTGAGAGGTGAAACAAAGGTAACTTGCCCAAGGCCACACTAGCAAGTAAGAGGTAGAATGCTTCTTGAGAACAGCAAGGTGCCCTGGAGCTTGAAGAAGGAGCAGGCAAAGTAAAGTCAAAGTTAGAGAAGGGATTGCCAGGCAGAAGGAACAGCAGGTGTTGTGAGGACACTGAGGTGGGAGATGTGGAAAAGGATCCACAGAGGTTTGGCTAGGACCTGGGGAAAGAGAGATGAGGTAGTCAGGGGAAGATTGACAGGGCCTTATGGGACCTCGTTAAGGAGCTTGTGTTTTATTCCAAGACAATGGGAGGCTGCTGAAGGGTGTTTTTCACCTTTCCTTAAACCACACAGAAGTGTCTTAAAGTCATTTTCCCTTCAGTGTCCGACTTTGTGATCTAATAGAGGCAATGCTTCTGGCCCAAATGTGTAGATCTTAAACAGTTTTTACTGCCCACCATTAACATGGCTAAAAAGAGTTGCAGTGATGCTCTAAGAAGCTGGTCCTGCAGAATGCTTCTAGAAAGTAGTTTAATTAGGCTTATATATCTGGTGCTTTTTAGGCTGCATTAAGGGAGCTCTTTCAGCTTTCACTAAGCCTGTCAAATGGAGAAAAAAGTAGAACTGGGAGAAAAAGTAATTCCTGGAAACCTGAGTTGTTCAGTGTTAGAAATGGAACTGTTGAGTATAAGACTTTGATTTAAATATATCATGGTAAAGATGCTTCAGTGACTAAATGGAAATTTTTAATGTTTTTTTTGTTTTTTTGGTGTATGCCATCTGTGATGGCAGACAGCACATTTGTGAGACTCTGGGAAGACTTAGGCTTTTTTTCAATACTTACATATTATTTATTCTCATCCAGGTACTACAGGTTTTTCTGTTTGAAACTATTTCTTATGTGCAGAGTAAACTTTACAGGAGGAAAACCAGTGTTCTCTTCTTTCCATATGTACTGTACCACAAACATTTACTTTGAAGTAGCCTGTGTCAATTAGCTTTTTTGGCGGGGAGGGTGGTTAGGGGAGGGTTGGTAGCTGGTGATTGGGTGATCTATGTAGGCCTCGCTCACACATGTGGTTGCCAGGCTTGTGGATCTAGGAGGCTCTAAGCTGGGATGGTTCCTCTCTACTGCAAGTGGTCTCTTCTCCAGCTGGGTAGTCTGGACTGGTTAACATGGTAGTCCCAAAGGTACAGAGTAGTAAGTGAGAGCAAGCACCAGCACACAAGCACTTCTTAAGTGTCTGCTTTTGTCACATTTGATATTGTCCCATCAGCCAAAGCACAGAAGTGCTTCCGCAGCCAAGCCCAGAGTTACCGTGTGAGGGGACCATTGAAGGTGTGGATACAAAAACTTGGGGCCATCAAACAACAACAAATGTTGGTGAGGTTGTGAAGAAAGGGGAACCCTCCTACACTGCTGGTGGGAATGTAAATTAGTTCAACCATTGTGAAAAGCAGTGTGGAGGTTCCTCAAAAAACTCAAAATAGAAATACCATTTGACCCAGGAATTTCACTCCTAGGAATTTACCCTAAGAATGCAGCAGTCCAGTCTGAAAAAGACATATGCACCCCTATGTTTATCTCAGCACTGTTTACAATAGCCAAGAAATGGAAGCAACCTAAGTGTCCATCAGTAGAGGAATGGATAAAGAAAATGTGGTACATATATACAATGGAATATTATTCAGCCATAAGAAGAAAACAAATCCTACCATTTGCAACAACATGGATGGTGCTAGAGGGTATTATGCTCAGTGAAATAAGCCAGGCAGAGAAAGACAAGTACCAAATGATTTCACTCATCTGTGGAGCATAAGAACAAAGCAAAAACTGAAGGAGCAAAACAGCAGCAGACTCACAGAACCCAAGAAGGGACTAACAGTTACCAAAGGGAAAGGGACTGGGGAGGATGGGTGGGAAGGGAAGGATAAGGGGGAGGAGAAAGAAAGGGGGTATTATGATTAGCATATATAATGTGGGCGGGGCACGGGGAGGACTGTACAACACAGAGAAGACAAGTAGTGATTCTACAGCATCTTACTACGGTGATGGACAGTGACTATAATGGGGTATGTGGGGGGGACTTGGTGATGGGGGCAGTCTAGTAAACATAATGTTCCTCATGTAATTGTAGATTAATGATACCAAAAAAAAAAACTTGGGGCCATACCGCAGTCATGCACGTTAATTAGTAATTA